GATGCCACCAACCATGTCACTCATCCGGAACCGTCCCAGCAGTAGAGGTTGGGCGCTTCTGTACCACCGCCGTGACGTGTTGTGGGCCAATAATGATGATCCGGGAACTTGTTACCGACTCACTCCGGTGACGTCTCCGACTAAGACGCAACGCCGCATGTTTCGTAGCCGGAAAACGTTCTAATCTACACGATCTGCAGGTATCGCGATCACCCAATGAACAATTCAAAGCGGACTTGCGTGAACTTATCGCTTATGTTCCGTCGTACAATCAACTCCCTTAGTGTGTCGGCCGCACGACTGCTTCCCCCACTGACGTTATTGAGAACACGGAAATCCGGGCACAAAACAACGTTACTCGCCGCGAGCCAAACCAGCCGCCAAGCGTCCGTGAACAGGAATCAACCGCGTAATTCAAATTAGGGTATCTACACAATCTATACGGAAAAGGTTGACCTTCGTTCAATCAAGGCTGGTCAATTCCTAGATGAAGGATCGATACGAGGCCTCCGAACTAGTGAAATACACAGAGCATAGGAAAAGCTAATAAGCATAAGAATCAGTGTCAACACAGGCTAATGACGAATGTGAGGCAATAGAAACATATATGCAGAGAACTATACAAGGCGCGAAATGAACAAGGTTGAGTGAGGTAAACTCACAAAACGACGGGGAGTCGTGGAGCTTTCTTACCAGCGTTATAACATCACTGCGCCCACTAGATTCTGGACAGCTAACAAAACAATCGATATTAAGGCTGGTGCTCATAAATGAAGACGTTTGATCGACGTTATTGTTGAAGAGTCCATTAGGTCTCAGCGACCATGTAATTATAACATTTGATTATGTTATGCAGAATATCCATTTGAACACTCAGAACTAATACAATCACATGCTAGCAAATCTTAAAAGGACTCGTCAAAGCATCCGCTTGGGAGTTCTCGGACCAGTCCGCCGGCGGCCGAAAGGATTGCACGCCTGGCTATCAATCCTCCAGCATGACTTAGAGCGACTGTCAACGTGGTCCACTGAAACGCAACTCACTCTTAACGCAAGCACTTCGGAGTTCATCAGTATCACCAGACGTCCAGCTACTCGATCATACACATTGGACGGCCGGTTGCTCCATCTCAACACATCTGTCAGAGACTTAGGAGTTCTCTCACGACATGATATGAGATCGCTAGTAAATACAGAGAAACTGTACCATGTAGGACTTCGTATGCTCTGAGCATGGAGACCATTAGACCAATCCTTGAATACGGTGCCCCAGCTTACCATCCGATAACCCAGTGGGAAACTGGAAAGCTGGAGAAAATACGGCATATCGCAACTAGAATGATCCAGAGTCTTCGAAAACTTCCGTACGAAATACGTTGTGATAGGCTCGAACTCTACACAGTATCCTAGCGCCGAGTAAGAATTCACCTTATTATGACCCATCGAATAATACACCAGAATCACTTTCCCATACTGCGGCCGATATTTCATTTGCGGGAACCCAGTAACATCCGAAGACCCAGTTACAAACTCAGGGTCCCCTGTATGAACGAGGTATCCCATCAGCTTTGTACAGAGCGAAGAATTGTAAACTTATGGAATGCAATATCACAAGCACTTGCAGGGGTCGGTTTTGTGAAGTGTTTTAAAATACGTATCGATGATTGTTTCGGAAACCAGTGCTTTTGTGAAACGCTACACATATAATGCCAAAAGAAGACATTGTATGCCCGGAAATAATGACACTACTGCAAGTTCCTAACTGAACAAGGATAAACGATTAACAAAGCAGAGACAGCTGCTGATGATTTACAACTAAATGTTTTTGATTTTTCAATAGATTTGTACAGAAACCTTTCTACTTTCTCTTAAATACAGTCTCAGTCTCACCGGTTCAGATCCGCGTAGGGACGGGCGTCCTCGCTTTATACTCAGTTCACGCGCAATAGGTGTTAGTCGCGTAACAGCGAAGCGTTGGTCCGGTGTGTCGGCGTACTGCCTATGACTTTTTTCCCGGAAAACCGTTCGATTGACGACGTTTAGATAGAGTTCGCTGAAAGGCCATGACATTATCAACAGCGCGCCAGAGAACAGGCCCCTTCGTTTCATAAATGTGCTTGACAACAAAAAGGATGCCTATAGGGCTAACTTAAAGTCAGAGACTTGGGGCAACTACTTGACCGATCGCAACCATTGCACCACACTTGTCAATGCAAACAAAGTAATTTGCCCACAGTGTCTAGCCAAAAAATTTCTGGCAAACAACGGTCTACTGTAATGCCATATCAACTGTCTCAGTAACATAAAGCATGCCATCCCTCTCCACTTTTCGTATTCGCAGTCTGTCCCTGTTATATGCTCTCAAGCACATTACCGACTACATGCTTTACACATGTAATTTTCAACCAGGCAAATGTGCTAAGGAAGTTTCTCTCATATTTATTTTCCACGATGCTTCGATGAACAGCAAGTCCCGACTATGTGGAGGCGACATTACTAACTCATTTATTGTAGGCGGTAGCCGTTCAGACCATGCAAACTATCGCCCAGTGACCCTCCTCCCTTTACTCGCGAATCTGTCGACCGATGATCGAAGGCCTACGCGCCTGGTTTGCAGTCATAAGGTCCCCGCTTCGAATCTACTTATGGGAGTGGGCCTCCTCGCGATAAACTCAGCCCGCCCGCGACTGGTGGTGGTCGCGCGGCAGCGAAGCGCCGTTACGGCGTACAGCTGACACAATTATCGTAATCATAATAATAATACTCGCGAATCGGATGGAAGCAGTCATCGCTGAGACTCTAGTGGACTACCTTGAGATATGCAACATCTTGGCACCGAAGCGGCATGGTTTCCGCCAACACTCCATTCCGCCAACCTGCTTCTAGCATGAGGTGGTTGAAGTAGCTGACTGGGGGGGGGTCGGCATTGATATCATCTGTCAGAACTTTCTTAATGCTTGTAACCACCTGGATTACCGTATGCTACTTCACGGACTACAGAGCTACGGAATGTGTGTTTCACAGGGCTCGGTACTGGGACCGTGCTTATTCCTGGTGTTTGATATCGATTTGAGATGAGGTATGTCCTCTAATTTCCTGCTATTTTCTGATGATGTTAAAATATGGCGGACGATTAATAACAAGATAGATTACAATTTCCTCCATTCTGGGCTAGATTGTATCCATGAATGGTCAACGCAGAACCTACCACAGTTCAACGCACCTAAATGCAACGTGATCCGCTTGCTTTACCAACCGGTGAGCGTGTACAAGCTTGGAGTTCACACCTTGCAGAAGGCCTCTGGAGCGTGACTTGGGTGTACTGGTACAGGCTATCTCGAATGCTCAAAAAAACAGAGAAGGCGTCGAGAACTTGCAATTAAGACTTTGGCTTTCTTTGCAGGGCGTTCTCTCAGTTTCATACCTCAATATTCCGACAAATAGTGAGTTCCTACATGCGACCGCACAAGTAATCTGCTATCCAGGCGTGGCAGCCGCTGCGGAAACAGGATTTCGTCGCTCCACAAGGAAGGGCAACCATGAACGTTCGGGCCTCTTCCTTCTGCCCTACTGGCTTAGACGCGTCCCTGGACATGAATCACAGTCGATATCGGAGTTTGCGAGCGGACCTCATAGTGGTTTACCATTTTCTGAAGAACCCAAACCACACTTACCGTCCGCTGCTGGTACTGAACCACAACACCAGCCTAAGAGGTCATCCATTAAAACTGACCTTACTGTCTAGCCGGTTAGAATGTTGTCGGAATTTCTTTTCCCTTCAACTGTGTCAGCTGTTTCACGCTTTTACAATGTATGTCGTCTGTGCCTGCAATCAGACGATATTTCGAAAACCACTTTACAAAACCTTGTCCCATTAGGATTTCGTTTTATAACTTTTGTTAGTCATGTGGCTAATAAACAGCCAAACGTTAATTCTCCGAAATTTCACCTAATGGATTTATACTTTTTATTCGCGAATATCTTCACTATTCCACCTAAATCTATGGTGAGTCCACCCAAACGCTTTTCCTCTTATCATGAATTTTTATTCTCTCAGTACTTTCCAACTCACGGGACTTGTTAGTCATTGCTATTTTGCCGGTACTACACCAACTGAAAGTGGATTTTGGGCACCGTGTCGTTGAGAAATGTCAAGTGGCAATTTACCGAGCCATTTAAAATTTAGGCTGTTATGTGTGGGCATCTTAAATGTCACATGCACGAACGTTTCTGTTCTGCTAGAACCGAGCTGTGCTCTTTGTAGACGTAGTCTCTTGTTAAATCGGGAAATACACTTTTATTTGTTATTTAAATTTGCAGTGGTTGTCCTACTCTGTCAACTAGACATATTTGCCCGGTGAAAATCTCACACAAGTAAAGCCTGGTCGACAGTTCATGCCTCTGAAACCTGTTTCGATGATCCATTTTTCAGTGGATTCAAAAAACTTTAGAACATAAAGCAACAGAACTGTGGCTACGACAACGAGTTCGATATGCCGGCTGGTTGCTCTCCAACCCTTTGTTGCCGGTTTCGAGCATGCGCAAGGGACCACGTGACTTTTACAGCGTCCTTAGTCCATGCACTACTGGTGGGGTATGCGTGGCAGTGAAGCGTCAGCACGACGTTCTGCTGATCCGCAACCCAAGACATGTCCATCCTCGTCCGAGCATGTGCTGCATACTTGGTATGATGCATGCAATGTTGTGTCGGGGAATTTAGCCTCATATTGAGTGTTATTCGCTTGACCTCATTTTTCAGATTTTGCCGAATTCGGCAGCAGCCCAGCTCACAACGAGTAGTAAAACTTTATGCCAACAAGGTCTCTGCCAACCATGCTGGTGGCTCGTTGCTCTTCGGAGACGACTAGCTGAAAATGACCATCTTAATCTGGCGATTGGCTGACAGCTGATAGTCAACTCCAAATATCATACCTATTGTACCTTATAAGAGTATATTGTTTCCCGATTCTATCAAATCATTTTTTCTGCCGTTAACGCAGAGGTGCCACTAATCTGCTCACTGAATCCTGGGTCTGTGAAATCGCTAAAAGACATAACAAAACGAGTGCTCAGGTTTTACTACGCTATTTGCTGCAGCGCAACATAGCCGTGGTCCCCAAATCGGCTACCCCATCGCGTATCCTGGAGAATGCTCAGGTTAGTGATTACCGCATGTTTCATAAGTATCCTTGTAACTTTTCTTCTTGTTTGTCGGTTTCCGTTCGGTAAATCTTCACAATCTTTGCATTCCGTTTTGAACCACTTGTTCAGTTCATACATAATGCTTTTATTTTTCCACACAGATCTTCGATTTTTATTTATCCGAAGAAGAAATGCACTCTCTTCACACTAATGGTTTGAATGAGCGCCAGTTCCGACTTACAGAGTAAGATGGCTCCTACTAGACCCACTAAACTTTTGCTTTCTAGGATGAAGTGCTTTGACGAATACCCATTCAACGAGGAGTTCTAATGCGAGAGTATCTTTCACATTTTCATATCAGTTTCTCTCATCATTCTGCTCATTTCTGTCACTGACGTGGCCTAATAAAGATGTGTACTTCACTACTTTCTTTGTTGTCATCGCGACGAGACTGGACCTTCCTGTGGTGCAATGGTTTGCTTGCCACAGTGATCCATCGGACTATGCTGATTTGCACTTTATCCCACTCATCTCTCTTAGCCTCCCCCTCCAACCACGATCTCACTATTTAGCCTCATATAATTTTCCTTAGTAATTTTTTTGGATGCACAGTAGCCTGCTGGTAGCTTATCGGAACGATGCCCATCTGTTACCAGTAGATCAGCCGCCTTGCACCAGTTGGATCTTTTTCTCCTTTTTTCTTTTATGTATTGCGGCACAGTAACTGAAGTGTTTCCCACCTCTAACTAACCTGTATAATGTTGATGATGATGACCTTCAGAGCCACTCATGCTAGGTTGGTCAATGGTTAGATGCCAGACAAACTCGGTCTCCTAGCTCTTCAGGTTGAGGTTGGGGTGACGGAGGCTCCTTACTTCATACGACGGACCTGTAGCGCAGTGCCAAAACCCCGCTGCGTTGTGGTCAGGTTTTGAACCAAAGACGTTAGTCGAGAACTCTAATCGTTCTCTTGTCTATGCCTGGGCGGTCTGACAATATCCTTCCCACGCAGTAGAATACATTGACCCTCTTGGTGCTGTGGCCGTCGTAGAGGATAATCAACGGTGCCCTATCTGCAGCATCGATCAGGTTGAATAGGAGTGAAAATGCTGTTGGTCAGGTCCTCACGTCTTCTTATTCTTTATCTTGCGCTTTTTCGTTGTTGTTATTCAGTTCCAACTTCACTTTCATCGCCCCTGTTTTTGAATCCCCAATTCTCGGTCCTACTCATCTGGTTACAACAGCCACTTATGTTTTATTTTTGACTCACACGCAACCGCAGGGATTCGCTCCAGCCCAGTCGACAAGTCCATGTTTAAGGAAGCATACCCTAGAAACCAAACCAGAGAATCAATTCCTTTTCGATACTTCCCTTCTGACTAATGCATGCGTTAAAATGGTTAAAAATGTGACAGGCTAAGATGGCTGGGCTACTGCTGCTTCAGTCTGAACAGGGTTCTTTACCTGTTGATCAGCTTCTCCAATCAATGAAGACAATAACGCACATGGGGTCACGGAGTAACCGCCTGAGATCGAATTAAGCGACACTCACGGTGAGATCATAGACAAGACAACTTTAGCGTCTGTACTAGCGTCCTCTGTTTGCACAGTTTCAGTTGCATTAGCCGGATCGTAGTGGCTTCGTCCGTCATTAGTAGGCCCTTTTGGGTAGCGTTTTAGTGCGGCGTTAAAGAATCTAAAAGCTTCCGAGGTCTCGACTTGATGCTCGCTTTGGATTACATGTTCCAAAATAGAAGTGTTGTTATGTCCAACTGTGCGCTTCTATATTGTTACTGGGTAATGTTATACTGTCCGTTTGACCATGCGTCTGGTCGTGTATCCAAGGTATCTTGCGCCACAGGTGCAAGTAAATTAATATAGCATAAAAGATGCGGACATGACCGGGAGTCGATCCTTAAGATGTTCGTTTATAAACGGGGCAGTTTCTGCAACGACGTGCAGGTAGGCAGCAGGGGACGACTTGGCTATTACATTTAGGAGTCTCCCGTTCAGGAATTCGAATGCGTCATCTCCTTTAAAATAACTTGTAAGCTGAGCATTCTTTTCCGGCACCGTCACAGTTGTTTCTCCTCGGTCACGTATCACAGCAAGCCTCACGGTGAACGGCGCGGGGCAACCATTATCCTCTAGCGTCCTAAGGATGTAATCCTTTTCGCTTTCCAGTGCTTCAGGACTACAATTTTTTTAACACGATAGTACAGGCAGCGATCTAAGTTTCGTTTATACTTCAACAGTACAAAGCTGCGGATATGTGCACCTTGGTCAATCCAAGTAGACTTTTGACGTACACTTCTCTGGAGAGAGAGCCATCTTTTCGTCTGTTTAACAGTATGTCCAGAAACGCTAACTTTTCATCGCTTTCAATTTTGCATTTAAACTTCAAAGACGGTTGCGATCTATCGAACTGATCTAGTAGATGAGCTACGTCACCAATTATCTAGGTATCATCCATGTATCTCCAGTAGGGATCAACTGACGTGATACTTTGTCGGAGTGGACCACATTCAAGTTTGGCAAGGACAGTATCGGCAGGCAGTGGTCCTAGAAGCGACGCCATCAGTACTCCGTCTGTCTATAAGGACATCCTTCAAACACGAACTGACTGTCCAAAGTGCATCGTATGATCAGTTCCTTCAATACAATTACTGGGATACTATTATAAACGTTCTACATGGGTTTCGGTAGTTCTAGTCGAAACAAGCGAGCTGTTTCACTAGTTGGTTTCTACGCGCAGAGTAGTCTAGACGATTCGAATTGCAGTGGATTGTGAAGTTAGGCGACAGACGTGAACTCGTAGCTGAGAAGATAGACGAAAAGCGTAAACGCTGCACAAGCGTACCGAGACCCGCAGAAACAAGACTAGCTTTTACTGACAACTAAGGCAACCGGACTTACTACAACTTCTTGCTTATAGTTCACTAACACATTAATAAATGTTTAAACTATAATTAGAGGCGTACGTTTGTTGACATATGAGTTGCCATGTAATGGGTCTATCTCCGGGCAGGGATGAGCGGGGCCGATGCTGTTGAGACGTTAGACACATCACAGTTGCTGGGTGTGTTCGGTAGCAAGGCATTAGCGTGAACACCACTCAGGAGCCAGATTTTACTTGAGGCTAGACCGTAGATACGATTGTGACACTGGGACGGGTTCTTTGGGAACTGTGCGGGATACGTTGGCCGCGTTCTCATTGACCACAACTCCTTTGTGATCTGTGCAGATGTTTGGCAGCAGTTTCCGTAGGGAGCACTTCGCTCTGAACTGAGTAGTTTAGGTCTCTACATAGCGATCGTTGTTTTCGAGCACGATAGTGTGCTGGCTGCGGTGAGTTTGACAGAGCTGTGCAAGCCCTGTAGCAGATACGTATATATCTATGCTTTTCTGCAATACAATCAAATACGGTCAACTCCTTCTAGCAACGGAACGTTTGTGAAAACTGACTCGAAATCGGACGATATTATTAATTTCCTTTCTACTCTCAGATGTTCCACTGGTGTACCAAAATCAATGGACTCTTTTAAAATAGGGACGCACGTACCGGTTCTAACAATTCCTCAGTCTATTTGACGACCGCATGGAAGGTGGAAGCAGACTTGTTAATGACCAGGCGCAAGCGCATCTGTGGTTTGTGCACTTTGGATAATCCTTAGAGGTGGGATGGATGTGATACGGATGCAGTTAGCTGTTCAAATATGCGGCACTTATGACATTAGAATTCTGCAGTTCCTTCAACGAGCTTGTGCTTCTTGTCTCATTTTGTTTGGTTCTCTTTTTATACTGTGTCAAGCAAGAACTTGCTAATGACTTGAAGAATTACATGCATTTTTAAGACAGTCCGGTTTGTCCATCAGAACCCATCCTGCTCCTTAGTCTGTCCGGGAAATGATCAATTCGGGATTCCATCTTATTTCTGTGGTAGCATGTTGGTGTCCCTTAGCTGGAAGCTGGAATATTCGTTTGTAGAACGTATACTGCTGACATAGATGCACCAACGTGGTTTCGAAAGTGTAGTTGGCAAGGGTACAAATGGGATTCAAACCAGACAGTTGGTGCATTAGATTTTCAGACTGAGTTTCCAAATGAATTTGTCCATGACGTGGATGAGAATGGCAAAGTTTCGGACACAATGCTAACACCTCTAGTTGCAGTTGATTTATCGTATATTACCGAATATAAGCAGACATTTTAGCTGCCGACAGTAAAGCTGCAATAACAGGAAAACGAGTGAAGCGTTGAACTGTCTTCTGAGGGCTTCATCTTGTTGATGGCTTCAATATTGCCGGAATCTGTGCGCCGGTCGCGTTTGTCGATGATAAACCGGAGAAATTTGATACTTTCTAATAGGGACTCACATTTTTCAGCCCGTGATCGGAATCCAGCTTCTTGGAGACACGAAAGCACTCTCTCCAGTGACTGTATCAAGTCTTGTGGATCTGAGCTCATAATCAATGCATTGTCCAGGTATACTGCGGTATTTGGGATATCGCTCAGCAGGGTATCCATTATTTGTTGAAAAATGGCCAGTGCGCTTTTAACTCTGAACTGCAGCCGCTTGTACTGATCTGGTCGAAGGTGGGTATTTACTGTCGGCACTGTACTGCACTGATGGGCAACTGGAATTTGTAGATACACATCAGCTATGTCGAATTTTGCGAAATACTTTTCCCATTTGCTGAACGAGTCTTCTGGTACCGCCAGGGGATACTGATGGTCTTCCAACACAGAAATCTAACCTGTCGAGGAATCAGCCCAGATACGAACTTTACCGTTTCTTTTATTTACCACCACGATAGGTACTGCCCATATTGATTAGTGCACTCGTTCGATTATCCCTTCAGATTGTAGTCGGTTTAACTCGGCTTCCACTAAGGGATGGGTTGCGTAGGGCACCGGGCGTCTTGTTCTGAAGGTTGACTTGGCGTCTGGTTTAAGACTCAACGCAGCAGTAGCTGTGTTTCAGCATCTGTGACCAGATTGGAACAATGCATCGTGACGTCGTTTTATCTCGGTACTTTGACTTTTAAACATCGGGCTTGTTGTCAACGGTTGCGACAGCAGATTGACATGCGGTGGCTGCCATATACTGTTCACTGATTGATCAAGCAGTTTCAATTCATCCATCCAGTCGAGTCCCAACAAATCTAACCCCAACTGGTCTGTCACGAAACATGTCGTCCGGATTTGTTTATCGTGGAAGTTTACCCGACAATTCAGTTCACCAAGCAATTTTAACCTACTTCCTGAAGCATTCCATGCCGTGTGTCCCGTTTGTATTTGTGTCGGTCACCCCAGCATGCACCAAGTGG